GGATATGTGGAAATCATGGAAATTTCTGTCCTTCCCCCCCACCCAGGCCAGTGTCGGTGTTCCTGCTTTCATCCTCTTTCCTGTATTCCCCCTTTACAAAGAGAGCTGAGGAGCACAGAGGGAAGGCCAGAGCAAAGGCAAGGAGATTCCACTCCTTGAACCAAGGGTAATGGTAGTTAACCACCTAAGAGAGGGCTGCTGCTGTGATTCTTACCATAAGATCTTATAGAGTTGTAGGTCCAGGTACCACTGCCCTGTGAGGTGAAGAACCAGATGTGTTAGAAAATGAGCAGAAGTATATCAAGAATTTTCTTTTTCAGGGCAGCGCCTGTGGCTCAAAGGAGTAGGGCGCTGGCCCCATATGCGGAGATGGCAGGTTTAAACCCAGCCCCGGCCAAGAACTGCAAACAAAAAATTTTTCTTTTTCTTGAGCAACTGTTGTGAAATTTTGTAATTTTTATCAAATTAGATTTTACAGAATGTCTTGTTCACTAGGTTACTGTGGGAAATTGACTAGAATTCCTCCATGAGGTTGTCCAAAGATGTGCAGCGACATGCCGGGAGCTAGGACTCAGGGAATGAACAGCTCAGGTTAGCTGCTTTGTGCAGCTTACCCACCAGCTTCTTCTGGGTTCTAAGCAAATAAACTATGAGGAAACATTATCAGGCCTGAATGGGTATGATTGCCGCGTTCCTGGTGACTCCTTAGTAAAGCAGTTAGCAGAAGGTCACGTTTTCGTTCACACATTGTGATAGCATGATGAGACGTAAGGGTGTTGGATTTCTTGGCACTCTTTTGAGTTTTAAAGTGCTTTAAGAAATTCAAACAAGGCAAAAAGATCATGCTTCTGCAAACACAAACATTGAGAAATGACTGTTTTACGGAAGAATATCATCTTTCTGATTCAGACAAGAGGTGAAACCACCTTTGTCCCACTTACTGTTAATCTCCCTCTGCAGCCCCAAGTGGGGTACATGTCTCCCTCTGCGGCCCCAAATGGGGTACATGTCTCCCTCTACTCTGTGCATTTGTCCACGTTTTTATTTTAACAACCTTATTGAGGTATGATTTATCTACAGGAAGTTCACTTATTTTAGGTGAACAGGCTGATGAATCTTAGGAATTATACACAGTGGTGTAAACACCTCCAATCAAAATACACGAACATTTTCATCACCCTAAAAATTTCCCTTATGTCCATTTGCAGCCCATCCCCTCTCTGAACCCCTGGCTCTGGACAGCTTCCTGTCTGATTTCTGTGACTATAGCATTGTCTTTTTAAGAATTTCATCCCATAGGCTCGGCGCCGGTGGCTCAAACGGCTAAGGCGCCAGCCACGTACACCTAAGGTGGCGGGTTCGAATCCCCAGCCCGGGCCCGCCAAACAACAACGACAGCTGCAACCAAAAAATAGCCGGGCGTTGTGGCGGGCGCCTGTGGTCCCAGCTACTTGGGAGGCGGAGGCAGGA